ACATTGTGAACACTTAGTGTATACAAATACAAATATTACAAGGCAATTGCCAGGGATGAAATAATAACTCAACTGCATAACGAGGAAAATAAATAACTAATCTAAACAATATTACTTCCATAAACAAACTGAGGTGGTGTTCTTTATAAACAAATTAATTCAGGGAATACCCAGTGTGGGGGAAATTATGGCATATTGGGCTTGTCCTGCAAAAGCTCAATGATGCGCTCTTGTTGGCTCCCAATGGACTTGGAAACAACTTCTCCCATCGCAGTCAACATTTTAGCTTCAAACCTCCTCCTATTTCTCTCCTTCAGCCTTCTCCGGCGCTCCTGTTCTGGCCGCACCAGTGTCTCCAGTGCACTGGTCCTCCTCTCCGAGTGGGCCTCATACAGGTCGTAGAAGGAGGGATGGGAGACTCGAGACCGGATTGATCTCGGCTGAGTGGTGGGCAGGGTCATGGAGGGACCAGGCTGGCCCTCAGAGGCACACGGCAGTGTGGTGGGCAGGGTCATGGAGGGACCAGGCTGGGCCTCAGAGGCACACGGCAGTGTGGTGGATGGTTGTGAGGCAGTGGGTAATAGAGGGGTGGAAACAAGAGTGCCTGGAGGTGCGCTCCCAACACCGCACCTCCCAAACAGGTTGTCCATTATCTGTGGAATTGCAGAATTGTTAAAATGGAAATGTTGCTTTTACCAACTAGATGTGCAAGAACAAACTTCTTACCCCATAATATTCCCACGTTATGTTCCCCTCTCCTGTTGAGGTACAACGGTCCTTGGCCCTTTTGTAGGTGGTCAAAAGGTTGTTGAGTTTTTTCCGGATTTTGTCTGAGGAGAAACTGTATCCCTCCTTGCTGAACTGCCGTTGTAGAATTTTGTAAAAACCGGGTTTGGAGTGATAGTACACCTGTTGGTGTGTTTTTGTCAGGTCCAAAAGCAGCAGTATGGTGTTGTGTGTGAAATCTGTTAAGACACAAGTGTTAGTAACTCAAACAAATAGCATTTGCTGTTTAGATCCTCATTTTAGTTACTGTACCTTGTGTTGCCTCAAGGTGTTCTGACCGGCTGGAGGGGGATGCCAGGTGAGGAGTGCCAGCTTGGGATCTAGCAGGCCTTACAGGAGCAGGCCTTACAGGAGCAGGCCTTACAGGAGCAGGCCTTACAGGAGCAGGCCTTACAGGAGCAGGCCTTTCATCAGGAGCAGGCCTTTCGTCAGGAGCAGGTCTTTCATCAGGAGCAGGCCTTTCGTCAGGAGCAGGTCTTTCATCAGGAGCAGGCCTTTCGTCAGGAGCAGGTCTTTCATCAGGAGCAGGCCTTTCAGGAGCAGGCCTAGCATCTGAAGACAGATCTAAAGGGACTGTGATTGAGAGAAAATTAAATATTTGTTTACAATAAACATGAATATGTCATTTGTTTGATTTGCATTAAAAGACAATACCATTTTTGATTTAAATGATAGATTACCTTGTGCATTTGTTGCAGCCCTTGCTTGCTGCATAAGTGCAGCTGCTAAACTGTTATCTGAAAAATAATTTACATCATTTAAAATCATATCCAGATTGTTGGAATGCAATTTAGTTGTTTACTCACCATTTTGTAGTCTTTGGGAAATGTCTTGTGAGACTCTTACAGTGATGTCTCCCTGTTCGTCACACAGTGTAAGCACCACAAATGCCATTTTACCCACTGTAGACAAAGGTGATCTCCATTGCTTTATATAGGTTTGTTAATTCAGTCATGATGATGAACCACACCAGTGACTGGGTTCCATAATTAGAAATGCTCCTCCCTCTTAATGTTTGCAAAACTGATAGGTGGACAGGCTACAAATGATCAGTCCCTTCAGATCCGCACACATGAAGCTTAATGAGCATGAATTGAACAGACCTGCTGCTGTGTTAATTCTTTAGCTGCCACTTTAAGCTTTATGATGTGTACAACATGGATGTAATTTGATTTAATCTTGCCATTTTAAATGATGTATTCAATAAATAAGGTTAAACCAAATCATTACATTACAATAGATTTTATTTTAATGATTTGGTTTAACTTAAAGAGAAACTTTATTGTTATTGCACATATTACAGGTACTGAGACAACGAAATGCAGTTTAGCTTCTAACCAGGTGCAACAAGCAGTGAAGTGGAAAGTAATGTTCACAATCTACAGAATAAAATATAGAATGAATTGAATGATGAATAAACAGTGAGGGGTATGAACACTAGATATACACAGCAGCCTGTGAGCAGTATGAACAGTGTGTATGAATATGCTAAGATATATAAAGTATGAAAACGGTAAGCAGTATAGTATAAAATATATAGATATTAATTTCATGATGATAAACATTGTGGAACAATGATGAAAAATGGGAATGGATGTGGCGACGTAAAACTGACACAAAACAACAACAAACTTTTGCCCAGCCAATTGGAGAGTTTCATCAGCAGCACGTGGTAAAAACCACCAATGAGCGCTCAGCTCGAGATACCAGCGAGCCGTTTCCCATCAAGCATTTCGCTTCCGCAGCCCGTGGAGAGCAACTGCGCCAACTCGCCTCGCCTCGCTCTCAAGGCTGCGGGCGTCTTTGTCCTGCGAAATATCAAAGTCTCATGTGGGCGGGCCTCCAGAGCAAGTCGGACAAAATGACTAACCATCATGCAACGCACTAGCAAGACGTTGATCGCAACTGCGCAGGTCTGCGCAGGTCTTGCTTGTCTCAAACAAGCCTACTGTCACAGAGGAGAGGTACGTACCTGTCAGCCAATAAAACACGTTTATTTCCATGCAACTCTCTGATTGGTCTGGTGGTGTCTTGCCTCTGTTGCATTCACTGAACACGGGAAATTACAATCCTGCCGTCCTCTTGGTAAAGTACGGTTAATGTATTATATTATTGAGGGAGAATTTGTCCGGGGCTAAAGAAAAAACATCCGGGGCGACGCCCATGGTGAAAACCCTAAAAGAGAACTTAGTTCATGAGAACTTTCCCCCCCTTTTTAGTCCCTGCTAGAGAGGTGGTACTTTCCAGGGGAGAAAAAGTTCCAATTTCTGATTGGCTGGGCGAATCGCAAACCACGCCCCGTAAAACTCGGGAAAGTTTTGTGAATCCGCCATTGTATTTGCTGGCATTAGCATTATTAGCATTAGCCCCGCTCACCAACGGAGAGAAACTAACATATGGCAACACAAAAAAAAAAACATGGGAGTGGTGGAGTGATGAGAAGGTGTCGGCGTTCTGGCGATTTACTCTGAAGGCTTCAGTAGAAGTAGGCCTGTCGCGATAATCAATAAATTGACTTATCGTACGATAAATAAAAATGGACTCGATAACTTTTCTGAGCTCGATAAATTGCTGTTTACATGCGTGTTTGTTTACATAAAGATGTGACCAGCAGCTACCTGTGTAGACCCTCCCTCAGGCTTCCTAGACCAAATACAAAAACAATTGGTAGATTTTTTTGGGGAGGGTCTACACTGGGTGCCACAGGGGGTGCTATTTTTATCCAGAAAGGAGGGGGGACAAGGCCTTATCCACCTGGCCAGCCGAACGCCACTTTTAGGATGCAGTTTTTACTGTATCCACACCAAATCAACCGGCCCGGCTGATTTGGTGTGGAGAGATGTGAGCAGCTGCATTCTCAGACGTGTGAGTAACCTGGGGCTGGATGCTGCTCTGTTTTTTAACTGATTTAAACATTTTAAAGTTAAATGGACTACCTCCCTTTTATCAGGGTGTTTTTCAATCTTGGGCCCTTTTTAACCATGAAAGGTGTCCAAAGACTGACTCTCTGTACTGGTTGTTGAAAGAGTCTCTGATTCACAAAGCCAGGTATAGACGTCAGCAGCAGCGAAACACCCGGCCTGACGGTGGCGCTGTGCCGATCCAAGACCCTGTGCCTTCAGCAGCTGGTGGATGCAGTGGGGCCGGAGCTGAGCGATGCACAGGCCTTGGGCTCTCTGCTGGGTCTGCACTCTGTCCGGGTGGCCGAGAGGATCCTACAACTCTGGAGCCAGATCCTCTGCCTTGATGACAAACGACTGTTAAGGAGCTACGGTCAGGGAAGAGCCAAGCCGGACCCAGCAGACCCTTTCCCGGAGATCTACCTGAGCGCAGGGCTCGGAGAGCTGACCGCCCCCCTACTCAAGGTCGCAAGCCAAGGATAAATACACAAAGCTGATAAAAAAACAATTTACATGAACATTGTAAAGACGACCAACACAAATGTGCTGAAGGACAGGGCCTCCACTGTGTGGAGCACCAGACTGGGTGCAGGAGGCGGACCAGGCCCACAGTGGAAGATTGTATACAAACCTCCCATTAAAAAAACGTACTGCCGACCTCCAGTGGAGAATTTTACATGGTGCCATCGCCTGTAATTCTTTTATCTCCATTATTATTCCTGCTGTTTTTAACAAGTGTCCATTTTATGGTTTTAGAGAGACTGTTTTCCATGTTTTACAGAGTGCAAGAGACTCACGGGTTTCTTCTCTCTTTTAACATTGGTTTTTAGTCTTTTTAGTATAGTTTTTATCATGGGAGCTCCATACAAAAAACAAATAAAGAAAAGTGGCAGCTCCTGAATTTCCTCTCTGGCGAAGCAAACATCGCAATATATTTAAGTAGGAGAAACAGAGTTGAAAATAAGAAAGGGAAGAGGCAAAAGCGATCTGGCTGTGCAACATCAGAGACAGACTCTGGCTGGAGCATCGTTTTTATAAACATATTGGTGACTTGGAAAATGTTAAACAACGTTGGTGTTATAAAGATATTGTGTGTTCTGTTGTTGATGAGGATTTGAACTTTGCACAAGTTTTTATGACATAAGTTTTAATGTATTATTTTAAGTTAAACGTTTTTATTGCACAATGAAGCACTTTCTTCTTCTTCTTCTTCTTCTTCTTCTTCTTCTTCTTCTTCTTCTTCTTCTTCTTCTTCTTCTTCTTCTTCTTCTTCTTCTTCTTCTTCTTCTTCTTCTTCTTCTTCTTCTTCTTCTTCGTAACTGCCCGCGAAATATTGGACAAAAGAAACTCGGCTATAGTAGTGTCAACTAAATCCATAGTATTACAACAAAAGTGCTTTAAACGAGGTAAGTTTTACGAATTTATGTTCTCAATCGCCAAGTGTGCGATTGAATATTACATTAGATTAGATTTATTGTCTCCAGGGGGAAATTAATTTGCATAGCTCTGTGAAAACAATATGAAATCAACAACAAATAAGACAGACAACTACAGATAGCACCACATATGATGGTTACTTGTTATTATTTAGGGCTGCCTGTATGGATCAGGTTTTTGCCAAGGCGAGCCCTTTTACTATAATAATAATAATATGTATTATAAACCGTATTGGCACAATGAGCGACATCTAGTGACGGATTGTGGAACATTGATTTGATTTTTCTCATGGCAGTTAGACTCTAGAGACAAACCAGGGGACTTTATTTTTAATCTGTGTCTGTCCATTTGGTGTAGTGTTTGATCCAATATACATTTGGTTTGTATATTAGTCACTTTCTTATGAAATGCCAGGTTTTAGGCCTTGGTTTGAACATTAGCCGCATACCGCACACCGCATACTTTGCAGTACTTAGTGCCGACACTTAGTGCCCCGGCACTTATTACCCCAGGGCACTAAGGGAAGATTACGCAAATGAGCCGCTGACATCACTTCGTCTTCTTCTGCTTTGGGTTTACTGGCAGGCTGCAAACAACTTCACGGTGTATACTGCCACCCGAAGTCCCCGGCCGGAAGTCCCCGGAGTTGGGGACTGGCTTCAGTAGAAGCTGCTGGGACTCCCAGCGAGTAAATCGCCAGAACGCCGACACCTCCTCATCACTCCACCGCTCCCATGTTTTTTTTTTGTGTTGCCATAAGTTATTCTCTCTCCGTTGGTGCGCGGGGCTAATGCTAATGCTAATAATGCTAATGCCACAAATACAATGGCGGCTTCACAAAACTTTTCAGAGTTTTACGGGGCGTGGTTTGCAATTCGCCCAGCCACTGGGGCACTTTTTCCCCCCAGGATAGTACCACCTCTCTAGCAGGCACTACAAATGGGGGTAAAAGTTCCCGGCACTAAGTACTCCTTTTGGTGTGAACATAAGGGGTACTAACGGAACTAAAGGGGAAAGGTACGGGGAAAAGCACTCCGGGGTGAACGCGCCGAAGCCTGAAAATAAAAAATCAACCAGATTAATATTTCTTTAAACCTGACATGACTAGAATAGATAGTAAGTAAGTACATCTGTACAGGAAGACAAGTTAAGGGATAGAGGAGAAACGATTATGGTATAATTACAGAGCCTGTCAATTTATAAATTGAGGAAATCAATGTTAGTCTATTAACCAAAGTGCAGCCATCTAATAATGTACTATCTGTTATTAAAGATCAGAGGAGTCAATCCGGAATAAAAATAAAGAAGCAAAGAGATTGTAGAACAGTGAGAAGGAAAAAAGCTTGGTATGTCAATTCATTACATTGCGAGTATTTTTCGTTGTTGTGAAAAAAAATGTGCCCCCTCTGATTTTTTAACAGCCCCCTCAGTCATTTCATCCTGGAGCCGGGCCTGATTTAGCTGAGTATCTCGGTAGCTAAGCTCCCCCCCTCTTTTGTTTTTAAAGCTGAGGACCCAGAATCAGCACTTTACTAACAGGGCTGAAATAGAGGGGTATGAGGCAAGGCTTTAGAATGGGTGATCTGTTTGGTATTTTCATCAAAACACTCTGGACATGTTTTTTTTATAATGTTGTATATATCTGAGACCCATAATATATGCCTACAAATAGTGTAATAGGAGATCTTTAATCGCTTTCATAAGGAATACCTCTCACAGCTGCTGGAGTAAAAGTCTGGAGGGAATGCACGTCATTTGAGACTGCATTCATCCTCAGTCTAATGGTTTACCCTTTACCTCACTGCCAGGCATATAGTGCTTAAATCAGTTGGGGTTCTGGACACATTTTACTGGGGGGGGCCGTGATGGGGCCAATCATTTCATGAGAGGGGGCCATTTAATGCAGGAAGAAGGAGATTTTAACATGTTTAGTAAAATACCATTATTGTTTTTTGATTTAGTAACAGAGTTTGTGTCAATTACTTTGTTTTTCAGAATCAGAATCGGTTTAATTATCAAGTTTACACTTACAATTGTTTTTTTTTGTTACTTTAACCCAAGATGCAGAACACTTAGTTTGGGGTAATAAATACGTTATGTATGAAGCCAAACTTTGTTTTTTATTTCCTAATATTTGTTGCGATTTGTTTTAGTCACAACATTTGTTTCAGTAACTTACTTATTACATTACATTACTGAAACAAACAAATCCCTGTTAACTTTGGCCTAGGTTACAGCACAGTAAGTTATTATTTTACATGAATTGCATTATCATAGATGTATTCTTTTGGAGGGGGGCCACAGGGAGTCCAAGCTCCTTGTCAAAAAAACTAAAATATTTTACTGTTAGTGTTCCTAATCAATGCGCAAACTGTAGTGCATTTGGTATTGAAGAACAACATATCCTGTGACTAGTCGACATAAGGATTCTTTAAGAAAAATGTCAACAGAGGAAAGACTGGTTTTAGGCTCTAACAATCACATTATTACTGACACATGAAGAGAAGGGAACTCGATAAAATAGGTTCTGCATAATGTTTTCAATTTTTTACTAGATGGGATGGAATTGTGTTGGAGCAACACGTTCTCACTCCCAACCCGTCACACTTTGACGGACGGTCACGGCCCCTCCCCGTCACGGAATTACGGACAGGGTACCCCTTGAGAGTCAGTTTTCAACGGGCAGGGCGTCCCATAGACCTTCATATATCTCCCATAGCGTTGATAATAGACGCCATGAGAACGCTCCCCGACGGTCGGTTGTTATTGTCAATATTAATATAATAATTATTTATTTTTTAATAGTCACACACTCGATTTCGCCGATTTTCTTGTTGCCGCAGCTGGTCGACACCTCTTTTAGCAGAAACAAAGGCTACATGCATGTATTAAATCGATGTTAATCCATGTGTGTGGTTGTGGAATTAATGGACGTGCCGTTGTCCGTTACAAACTCTTCAACTACAACCCTAATTATATTTTAAAACATTTTAGAAGGCCTCACGAAATACTTTAATGTAAATTAAAATATAAATGTGAAGGGATGTGTGTGATGTGCTTACTCAAATGAAGAAGCATTTCAGTGCAGAAGAGACTTCAGAAGTAATCTTCCTCTGAAAGTGGAGAGGACACTGAGGGTCCGGCCCACCATCCACCACCACGGGGGGCTTTCTTCTCACAATCTGTGAGGACACCCTGGTTTTCCCCAGCTCCTGGGAGAACGACCTCCGTTCTTCTCTGTCCCCTCACTGTGGGCCGGACCCTCAGTGTCCTCTCCACTTTCAGAGGAAGGGTCAGAGGAACTCAAAGAAATGCTGGACTCCAGAGAGCATTCAGTGTCAGACCCCCCCTCGAACCTTGTGTCTTCTTCAGATGAATCCTGCAGCTCGCTGGCAGAAGAAGGCTGCAAGATTACTTCTGAAGTCTCTTCTGCACTGAAATGCTTCTTCATTATAGTTCCTTCTCTTTGCTCCAGGTCTTTCTCCTTCTCTGCTCACTAATGAAATAAACCCTTGGTCAAACTGCATGTTTATCTTTGGCAGCCAGGTGCATAAACACACTAACAATTGTTTTTTGTTTTTGAGTAATCAAGCGCCTCTTCAAAGACACATCAAATACATCCCTCAGAAGATGGCCTTGTTTTACCCATGAAATGATCTGTGCACGCTTACAGATTTTTATTTTTTTTACACACACACACCACACACACACACACACACACACACACACACACACACACACACACACACACACACACACACACACACACTGTTAGAGATTTGGAGGGATAACTGGTCCGCTTTTCAAATCTCCGCGCGTTCCTATGAAGCTGGTTATAATACAGGAAGGAATCCATATCTACAAAGTAACCGTTAACAATAATCTACTTTAATGGCAATATGACAATGCAATACAATCATTACAATACAACATGATATATTACAGTTATATTGCAATGCTTAAGGAGTAATGCCGGCTTACTCCTGCTCTAGTCCGCATACTACAGAGCTACTTTCACCCGAGGGCAGCATGTGAAGAAGAGGCCGAACGCCAGGGATCCACTGGATATATACCAGAGTAAGAAGGAGGGGTTTGGTGTTAGGTCAGCTGGTCATCTTTTCAGGTCATCTCATTGGGAGACGCAACGCTGGCCAGCAGGAAACCAAACAGGCTCACTTTACAACAAAAGGTCTCAAGGCCTGCATACCTACACCTCCCCCACAGAGCAATAAAACCCTGTTTACTCCAACCAGCCCAGAATGTTTATAGCCATTTGTAGTCCTTACATTTATGAAAGGATAAAACAGAGAAATCAATATAAAACACAAACACAGGTATTGTTTGAACAGTATTCACTTAACTGCTACTGTTGATAACCACCAAGAGAAACCCAAGAGACCTCTCTAATATCACAACCACTGTAGCTCGTTCTAAGTTGAATGCAATCAGGACATGCTCTCACCTTCCCCCATCTTCCTTTGTCCTCAAAACACCATGTCAACAGGCCCAATGCAGCTCACAGTTTACCCAAATTTATTCCCATTTTAAAGCTTATCCATAGTTTGCTAACATGAATAAAGTACAAAGATATACTCTACAACACCACACACACACACCACACACACACACCACACACACACACACACACACACACACACACCACCACACACACACACACACACACCACACACACACACACACACACACACATCACACACACACACACACACACACACACACACACACACACACACACACACACCACACACACACATCACACACACACACACACACACCACACACACACCACCACACACACACACACACACACACACACACACACACACCACACCACACCACACACACACACACACCACACACACACACACACACCCACACACACACACACACACACACCTCTCGGGGGCCCCCCTAAAAATGTAAGAATGCCATGCATCGGCCTACAGTGGGAAAAATGGTTTTAATCTGTTGGAATAGAGTAGAAATATCAAATATCACTACTTTTCTTCTAAATGAAATGCTGACATTACAAAATACATGGTTTTATACTGCAATGGCATTGAGATAAAAAAATGTGGTCTGAATGGAAGTCAATGAGGCATTTTTGAGAGAAGTGAAATCATTAAAATAATGAAACAGGCATTTAAAGGGTTAACATCCTGACAATTATTGAATGTTTAGTAGTTTTGAGTACGTTAGAAGTTGTTTAAGTGATTCATGAAAAAAAAAAGTAAAAAGAAATATTGATGTATGATGATTTAATAGCAGTTTTTTGGGGCATGTACATTTTTGCCACGAAGGTGTCCAGAGGGTGCAAAATGCATCACGAGAGTATACAAAACATCTAAGAGTAAACGACATTGGATTTAAAAAATGTGACTCAAAAGAAGACTTCGTGCAATAACCCATGCCAAAAGCTGTAACACAGCTGAAATGATAACCAAATAAAATTTAAAAAAGTCAGAAAAAATGTACAAAAATGCCCGAGGAGGGCACAAGGGCAGATCGCAGACCATATAACATTGTTTGTGATTGTAGCCCAGCTGCGTGTGATCCAATCAGCAGCAGGTGCAGCAGCAGGTGTGATAATGAAGGTGAGATAATGAAGGTGAGATAATGAAGGTGAGTTCAGAGTGAGATCAGACTACTTGGCTCTCCCGTCGCAGCACTCCAGCACGAGCTCCACACACCCGCATCATGTCGGTGTTCGCGTGGCTTCTTTGGATTGTGTTTCGTGGTACTCTAGGAGGTCCGGTTCAGCACGCGACATGGTCGGAAGGGGCAGACCTACATTCGGTACAGACACCACAGCATGAAGCCACGAACCCTTCGTTCTACCACCTGCCCATGTTCCAGCATGCACTGAGGCCACTTGTATCCCCGGAGCTGTTTCGTCCGGTCCTTCAGAAGAGCCCACTGCCCACCGGACTGAATGCTCTACTGTTCCCGCAAGCGAGAATACAGCACAGCCTCACGGGGACGGGGTCACGCGCTGTGCACGTCTGGTGCGGGTTCGATGATATCTCTGTGCGCGTCGACCGCCTCCATCTGCGCACGTGGACCGATCCATCGCTGTTTCGACTCGGCTCGTGCCCGGTCAGCAGGGTCAGCCCCCGCTTTCTCTACTTCCACCACAGACTGACCGACTGCGGCGGAGAGCCTCAGGTGGGAACACCTGACAGCATCATTACTTCGTGAAACAATACAGCAATATTATTGAAACATTACCTCCAACATCAGTGACACATTACAGTAACATTATTTAAACATTATAATAACATTAACAACATATTCTCAATGTTAGTGAAACATTATCATAACGTTACCAATATTATAACATTGCTGCAACACCACAACAGTATCATAACATTGCAACATTATTTAACAGAATTAATGAAACATTACAGCAACAATACCATAACATTATAGCAACATCACCTGTTCATGAATGAAACATTACCATAACATTATCATAACATTACAGCAACACGTTTTCAAGAAAGAAGCATTACCTTATCATAACAGTACTGCAACATTACCATGGTACAAGTAATGGTACAATGTACATTTACTCTAGTGCTGTACTTAAATGCAGGTAGACTGTACTGTGCCTTAGTATTTTATTTACAGCCACTTTATACTTCTACTCCACTGCAAATTAAAGGAAAATCTTGTACTTCACTACATTTATCTTACAGCTTTAGTTACTTTACAAATGTACTTCATTGCATACAAATATAACAAATGTCTTACCATTACCAGTTGCACAGTAAATACTGCCTACCCTTATACAGACATCTATTTAATGGTTTAAGTTTACTGAATTAATTAAAGATAATTGTCTCCTAGACTTCTTTACAATTTGACTAATTTATTGCAACCAGTGGAATTGCCCCTTGCTGTAAAATCTCACCGATGCAGACTGCCATAAAAAGAACTGTTTAAGAACAGCAAATCATATTATGCTGAATCATCAGCTTCTAAAATAAAGTAAGTGCTTAATTTTTATAATTCTAAAGTGGTCCTGCTGTTTAAACAATCAATCGTCGTAGAACAGCGTTGGTTTTAACATGGTGAAGCTCAACTACAAAATGTTCATAAGCTTGTTCAATCAACGATTGAGGCTGTTGCATTTTTAAATAACATTAGGCCTTAAGAATCCAGAATGAAATATGGTGTAGATGGATTGAAATGGCTTTAAATGTAGATGGAATGAATTCCTATTGAAAATGTCTTACTGTCTCCCAGGTTGTTGGCGGCCAGCTGGTGTACAGCTATGTGCTGTGCTATACTCCACCTCAGCAAGGCTACGTCATCAGAGTCGTACCACTTAACTTCCCTATCTATTGCAATTACAACAGGTAACTTCAGGACCTTCCACAGCATTTAAAGAAGTATGTTTTATCCTGTCACCACTCTGACCAAGAAAATCATCAAGGCTCATGTGTCTTAGGAGATGAGGAGGTTTCTACACATCTTTTATTGGACTTGCAAACAGAATAACATGTTTGATGCATAAAGCTCCTAATTTAAACATGAAGTGATTGTTGAATGGAGCAGACTTAAACTGACTTGTTGGAAAATAATATCTGGAAAAGAACTGGAAGGACCAGGATCTGATCATCTACTCTTTGGTGTGTGCTTGGTACATGTGCCTGGTACCTATACAAAAGTAATTGCAATTTAAATCATTTAGCCCTACCTACTAACTAAGTTTGTGAAGCAATCTGTGGTAGTGTCACTAGTTTTCTTCTGTATCGGCTTGATGCATATTTGATCTCTCTTTCAGTTTGTGTCTGATGTGTGGAAAGGGCCAGCATCTTCATTTATGCTTAGTGAATGAATGGCTGCTGAGCCACTGCATGAGAAACACCATTGTGTGCAGCGCATATTAGTCTTCTGGGAAAAACAGTTAGATCTCTAGATGATTTCCCCCTTTGTGACAACTGTACGGGTGTCAATTTTGATATCACTCATCAGATTTAATTTGTATCGATGATTAAAGTTATGGATTATGAGGGATGTGGCAGTGTTGGTGACAGGTGGGTGCTGTCTCAGGTTACGTGCTGTCTGTTCTGCTGTGTCCCTCGGGCGCCTCGCCTTCACCACCAATCCCTATTATTATTATTATTATTATTATTATTATGTGCATATTTTATATAGACATTGGTGGAAAGTGTTGGTTTAACCTTCTTGCAGTATCTTGGCATGTAATGTGGCTTTTTATCAGCCTCTGGTGGAATATATCTCATATTAAAATCCTCTTTGTCTGTCTCAGGTTCCATTACGCCTACCAAGTTGGCTTCAGACCTCAAATTCAACACACAACCTTAATGAAGAGCATCAGGAGTAAACTCAGCTACAGCCTTACTGTCTGCAATGGTAAGACACCTACAGAATAAAAAGTGTTTGTTATTATTTGCACAATATGACATGTCCGCTGTAAATATCTGAATTCAACAGTTGACATCAAGTGCTCAAAGTCTACACTGTCATTCTGATATTAATCGGCATATTGGTCTTGTCTGCATGTGTGTTTTAACAGCCCAGGGAGAGCCCGTCCCATCAGGCCATTGGTTCTTTTTAGGGGAGCCGGTTTATTTTGTTGCCCAGGCAGCAGCTCTGTTTGCTGGGGAGAGGCTTTATGTGGACTCCTGCTATGCCACAAGCTCCAGCGACCCACACAGTGAGCACAGAGCGGACATCATTACTAACTATGGGTGAGTCTCTAGTAAGGACACAGGTAGTTTACCGTCATTGTTTGTCACTCTACATGTCCTGATTGATTCGTGCTTTCATTTTTGATGCAGCTGCATGCCAGACAGCAGGAGGGTGGGCAGCAGCTCCCGCTTCCTGCTGGGAGGGGGCAGTGTGCTGAAGTTCTCTGTGGATGCATTTCTCTTCAGAGAACTCTCACAGGTAAGACCAATTTAAGTGTTTTTGCTGAGTTTAGGGTAGTATACATTTTAAGGTTAACATTTATTTATTGAAATATGAAAATAGTTTTTCTACTCTCAAAATAATGGGTACTGTTCATCCAGTGAATAACATGCACTTTTTCTGATTAACTGTAATATGTAAAACATCCCCCCACCTACACACTTAGTTGGCTGACCTTTACAGAATAATATTATTTTTGTAATCAAGTCTACACCCAAAACATTTGGGCCCCTGTAAAATGGTTATTGTAAATGACTATTATACCGTGAATGTAGTGTAAAATATTGTACATAATTTGTCAAAGCATGTGAAATGATGGGTGGAGCTGGTTGATGGAGCCTGCTTTAGAACCCACTTATGCTGATACATTCTTTGTGTGCTGAATGATATAATCAGTTCCTGCTTTAGGAGCTTATTTTACAGCAATGAAGTATCTCCATGTGTAATGCACTGTCGCATGCTTCCTTCAGTCTGTCCACTTTTGTCTTGGGTCAGGGCACTTATCTTCACCTTCCCATATCTACTGTCTAATGAGCACCAAGAATAGTTTTGCTATCACTGACTCTTTTTATATCGCTATTTCCGTGTAGCCCACTTTCTAAGAGTGTGATCATGGGCCTACGTGAGTAGGCACACACTCCAAGACCAAGTCTGTAGGATGTTGATGTGAACTTCCTTTACGTGGCTCCGAGAGATTACTCATACAGTACTGAATGTATCGGACCGATGTATCATCGCTTTAACTTGTATCGGTGTAATCTTTATTTTATAGTCTGAACCTTCTCAAATCATGTGCATAAAGGTCACAATGACTTGAGTTATTTTACAGATGAACAATGATTATGTAATTTTACCATTACATTAGGGCATCCTTTTACCAGAATCTGAAGACTGAAGACTAAGATAGCTATTGAAGAAGTGCTGGAAGGATCCTGCAAGCTGCACAGTACATACCTTAATGACATGTTAACTAAACTAGTGGATCTATAAACCCAGCAGTAACTTTATAATCTGCTGTGTGTCTGATTGTAGGTGCTGTACCTCCACTGTTCAATATCAGTCGGTCTCACCACTTCCTACTCCTCAAAGTCCTGCAGCTACGACCAGGCTGCTGGCAGGTGAGCAACGCTATTAACATAAACCACTTCAAGTGTAACGCAGTTAAATCAGAGTGATCATTACATGTAAATCAGTGTGGCAATATATTTGGTGTGAATTCAGTGGTTGATTGTGTGTTTGCATGTGCACTGATGTTTGTGTGTGCAGGTGGGAGGAGCTGACGGCCGCAGCCTCAGTGTGCTCCTGCTGTGACTCCATGTGTGGCAACATACACCAATGTAAGTTCTGGAAACAAATTTCTCCAAATCACATAACTGAAGATAAGTTAACACATCAGTGATTATGTGCAATGAAATAATAACACATTATTTTGCATTGTAGATACGACTTGGTCATTGATCTATGATAAAGGTTTTATTGTCATATGCACAGTAGCTACAGTGTAGTTAAGGCAATGAAAATCTTCACTTCCAGTCTACATAAATATATATAACACAGAATACATAAAAAACTGTGTAAAAAGAAACCTAATTAAAATAAAAAGTTGCAAGTGACCAATGTGCAAGTAATGCAGGAGAAGTAGACTATATACATGTCAAATAGACTAAGATTAGCTAAGAACAGAATGTACAATTAAATACTATACAATACTGCTTATTGTAACAATACATTTATATTTGAAATGCAAACCGAATGATGCTTAAGGTTATGAAGGCACTTCCCAGAGCTCATGAGTTTAGCAGTCTTATGGCCTGTGGGATGAAGCTGTCCCTGAGTCTGGTGGTTTTAGTCCTGATGCTGCGGCACCGCCTGCTACACGGCAGCAGACAGAGCAGTTTGTTGGTGGTGTGATGGGGGTTGTTGAATGACAGTATTGCTGTTTAATCTCTGGCTTTATGTTCTCCTGCTTCTCTAAGCAGCTAACAAGAACACAGTCAGCAGTCCAGGCTTGCTCATCAGACAAAGAAGTGAAGTGAAACCAAGGGGGAAGGAGATGTCTTTTCAAGCAGAGAAGACAAGAGACTGGGAAGATCCAGAAGAGAAGCTGGAAGAGGAAAAAGATGAGAACCATAAGGAAGTCCAGACTTTTCCACAGGAGACGGAGGAGGAAGAAGCCAGTCCTAAGAAGACTAATGAGACAAAAGCATGGAGAACAAGTGATGTAGTCACTCAGGAGGAGGAGGAGGAGGAGGAGGACGACGTGGGAGAGACGGAGGTGGTGATGGATGAGACGGACAGCCAGCTGAAAGAGTTCTCTACAGAGGACATCATGCCTGACCAGAGTACACCAGAGGAATTCTCAAGTACCGAACATGCTTCTGTGAGTGGTTTGTCCAGTCACAACATCAGCACTGATGCTTCTGGTTCCAGCGCTACAACTACAGCTTCCAGCTTTGCGATTGATTATGATGATACGAGTAATCTTGGTTCTGCAGAAAATGTTTCCACATCTGCACTTCCTACCAGTGAGCTTTGTGCTGATGGTGACCCAAAGAACTGCAGCACCACCATTAATAGTGCAGCAGGTGGGACACAAAGCTTCACCCCTGATACTGTTGTTGGAGTAACCAATAGATCTGGTTCTCTTTGGGAGTCAGATATTAGAGACTTTGAGACAGTTGGGAAACACTCTGACACCGGTGACTTGGGAATGGATGTTCCAGGTTTGTTTAATATCAGCAGGCTGGAGGCAAATCAGAGTGACTCGCTCCTCTGGTCTGACTGGATACAAGGCCAAGCAGAAGATGCTGATCAGAGTGAAGGAGATGATGATGGTGGTGGTGATGATGATGATGATATGCTTCACAGTGTTCAGAGCAGAGAGTCAGACTCGGAGCAGCACGCTCATCCAGCTGGCTTCAGGGACACCACCTTTGTACACGGGTCTCTCGGTAAGCCTGATTTTGATTCTGGAGCTGAAGAAGACGAAGTTCTTCATCTGAGTCCCTTGACTGGAGAAGAGCAGACAAAATGGCAGGAAGAATACTTTTCTGATGCCACTACAAGACCACACGGTGTCAGTTCTTTGAGTTTAGAGGACATGCATGAAGACAGCCTTAGTCACTCTGCTTTGGTGAGCATCTCCTCCGCCCTGCAGGGCTCTGTGAGCAGCCTGCCAGCTGATTCGGACTGGGCTGATCTGGAGCCAGCACCGGGCTTGTACAGCTTGGGGTTTGTGGAGGAGTGGCCAGTAGAGGAGTTGGGACAGAAGCTGATGGATGACTTCTATCAAGATGAGATTAATTATCAGAAAAGTTCTAACACTGGTTTACATAAGAATGGACACAATATTTCACTAGAGTTTTAAACATGTCTGAGTCTGACCTGACAAAAACAGCACATGCGATCCTGTGCTGCTGTATTTATTACGTTGTTTTGTACATGTTTCAATATTTATGAAAGTCTTAAGAACTGCTTTGCAGGGGGGAAAGGTAAAGTCAGAAGTCATAGTGGGTCATGTAGAATCCATCCAGCAACAGGAAATGAGGCAGTTAACTTTACAACCCTTTCTTTCAAATGCTGTAACTTTCCTATGATTGTAGAACCTCAGTAATTTTGAAACCTTTCTGTAAATGTCAAGGACCAACAGCTGTTAGTGCTCACATGAAGAATATGAAACCAGGAGAGACTTTCAGACAAACCTTTCCAAGACTGGAGGAGAACCTGATGTTCAGCTGCCTGTAGCCATGATGTGGACATGTTTGTAATGAATAAACTCCTCTGACTAAGCTCTTACCTACCTTTTGACTCGTTGTCATTCTATATACATGTGAAAAATCTATCGTGTAAAAAATACAAGGGGTTTAGATTGTTTAAAGTCATGTTTTATATTCTTTAGAAATGTCCTAAACAATAGGCGCTTTCACACCAAGTACTTTGCCGTACATAGTGCATTCACACCTAATAGTCCGCTCTCTGGTGCGCACCAGACCACCATTTGTTATATTGTTTCATTTTTCAGAAGGTTCGGTTTGCGTTCACACTGGCAAAACTCAAACGGACTATAAACTTTAAACACAAGTCATGTGCTCGGAAATGCTGTTCAACCATTGGTCAGACATTAAGGGGATAAAAACGCAAATCCCGGCAATTTCTACCGGAGCCTCCGCCATGGAGCATCGGCAGGTTATTCTCATGCTGCTGTTAATCTGGAGATCAACAGACTCTAGCGGTCCGCGCATATGATTATATAATCAGACAACGTCTGTTAAAAAACATTATAACACATAGGCCTACAATGAGACGTTCTGCAGTAACTCAGCCGTCTCTCAAATTTGCTTGGTCAAATGAGCAGTTCTTCATTTTTGAGAGCGCGATTTATAGCGCCTTTACGGTAATCGCTGAGAAGCGGCACTAACGCAAGAGTAACACAATGCGTGTCTTTCTGCTTCATGCGATACAAATTATTTTTACCATAAATTGTTAAAAAAAACAACACTGTTTGACTCAGTCCTAGTTTGACTGCTACCAACAATAAAATGAAGTACTTTTACTGTCTTTTTTCTGGGTAATACTCTCAAATTCCCCTCCTGAGAACAAAATCATGCCACTTCTGCTAAATTTGATGAGATAAAATTATTTTTAGCCATACATTCTTAATAAAAGTGATAGCCTACTGTTGGACTCAGTAGCCTACTTGTTAGACTACTACCAAAAGTACAATCAAGTACTTTTACTGTGTAGGGAGACCAGGGACAGTTGCAACACGGGTCGGTTGGAACCAAGGGCGCCGGAAGCGGGGGCGCCAGGGGGCCATTGGCCCCCCCACTTTTCAGCCACGCCCCACATTTTCGCAGCAGCAGATTTTTCTTTTTTTTTCTTTTCAGTCTTTATTTCGAACAGATTAAAAAATAACAAATAAAAAATAACAAATGTGAAAAACAGAATACCGTATTGTTATAATACAGTATTTATCCACATTCATGGTAATATTTGTATATTCAACAAAAAAACAAAAAAAAGTCTTCATATTAATAATAATAAATCATATGTGTCCGAAAGGGAGTAGGAGGAAGCAAATGCTTATTAATTCCCACCCCTTACTTGATCAATGATTGTCCTTTAAATCATTATGCAAGTTATTCCTACATACATTTACATTCATACATACATATACAATAATTTCTCATCTTCAATCACCTTTCTTCATTCTCATATTTTTACAAAAAAGTGTTTCTGTACATCCTTTTAAACTGAATTATGCTTGTGCTTTGTTTTAACTCCTGCTCCAAACCATTCCATAAAAGCACCCCACAGATTGTTATACTCATACTTCTCAGAGTTGTTCTGACCTTGAGTTGTTTAAAATGTAGATTTCCTCTCAAATTATACCCACCCTCTCTGTCTATGAACAATGTTTTTAATTTCCTAGGAAGTAGATTATGTCTTGCTCTGTACATGATTTGTGCCGTTTTAAATTTAACCAGATCAATGAACTTCAATATGTGTGACTTCAAAAATAATACATTAGTGTGTTCAAGATATCCAACATTATTGATAACTCTTATAGCCCTTTTTTGTAATGTGCATAACGGCTGTAGGTTGGTTTTGTACGTGTTTCCCCAAATCTCCACACAGTAAATCAGATATGGCAATATTAATGTGTTATATAGAGTATACAATGAGTTATAGTCCAGAATGCATCTGGCTTTTCCCAATATTGCGATAGTTTTAGCCAGTTTTGCTTTTACATGAGTGATATGAGGTTTCCAGCTGATTTTGTGGTCTAAAACCACACCAAGGAACTTCATTTCATATACTCTTTCTATGTGTATGTTATCTAGTATTAATTGTATCTGTGGATTTGTTTTATGTTTTCAACAAATTCAACAAATTGTTGTCTGTTGCTTCAATAATCTCTCACCCAGTTTAATCCCACCCCTCTGATGCCATACCGTTCCAGTTTTATCAGTAAAATATTGTGATCTATGGTGTCAAATTCTTTTTGTAAGTCTATAAATATTCCCACTGCTTGTTTTTTATTGTCCATGCAGTTTGCTATTTCCTCACTTAATTCCATTAGTGCCATAGATGTTGATCTATCTTTCCTGAATCCATATTGACTGTCGTCCAAAAGCTGATGTGTTTCCATGAAACTGTGCCGCGGAAAACTGTACAAATCCCGTTTCAATAATTCCCCTCTACTCTAAAGTCGCATCTAAAACATGATCTGATCTAGCTGTGTATATTTTGTTATTTTTGATTGTTATATTCAATCTCACTAGCTACAGGCATGTTTGAAGCTTGTGAAGGGAAGATGACAGCTCTCGCCACTCTGCTGTTCCTCAGCGCCGCCCCCCTCCCTCCCGCTGAAATTATGAATGTAAGGTGTATAGTAATCATAGATAACACGGCAGGGTCCGTTTGTTTTTATCTGATTTCAAATAAGCAAGGTCTTGGCTTTCAGAATATTAAACTTGTTTCGGCAAATTCAGATGATAAATACAACTTTGAAGCTTCGGCATAATTACAAGCGGAGAACGGAGTAGCTTAACGTCACAGCAGCCATAACAACAGCCGGTGTTTCTCGTGAGTGCAGTAATCCAAACGAAAATATCTTTCCTCCGTAGTATTTTGATCATTTGCTCCGCTAATAATCAATCATGATGATTGATGATGAGAAATTATGGATTCCAGAGAAGAGAAAACTTTAAAGGCCTTTTTCTCAAAATGATGACTCTGTAACAGTCATTATATAATGTGACATATTTTGCTTAATATTTGGAGTACAAAAACAATCCTGATATCATTAGAAAGCTAGGAATCAAAATATGTCTTCGGATCAATGCGACTGACTTCGATGGAGCAGCAGGTCACTTTGCATTAGGTAAAATAAAGCAGGCAGACATAACAGGAAGAATATGTACATTTTAACCCAATCAAATCAATCATTGTCACACCATTCAAATGTATCCATGTAAATTACAACCAATAAAAAAGCTTAGATTTGTTTATTTGTTACGTTGTTTACTTTATTTGTTACGTTGTTCTGTGTGTCAACCGTTAACCTAGAAATAATATATACACTTGCAAACATGTCAGAAGAACCAGCGCAGAAGAAAACTAAATACAGTCAATCTAAACTTAAATGTAACAACTGGAAGGTCACATCCCTGACATCCACATCTCCGGAGCCTGGACCTTCATCAATCATAGAAACAGCGAAGCCAGATGAACCCCAGCAGCAGCTCTGCGGCCGCAGAAACTGTCAAAACCACCGCCGCCCCCACCGCCGCCGTCGTTGAACCGAAACAGGCTGGTTCCGACTGCATGGAGGTTTGTTGTTGGGACATTGAGGCGGGTAAAGCTGTACAGCTAACTATCGGAAAAAAGGAGACCGCTAGTAGATTATTTGAGCAAAGAGAAGGTACTTCAACGCAGAATGGTACAATGCAGAGAGTGGTTAATTATTTGCAAAACCACTAAACGATAGTGATAAATTGCGATGTTAACAACCTCATGATAACCTCATATTTTTTTTAACTTAGGATCATACCTGTGTTTAGTCTAGAAAAAGGTAAATGTGTGCATTTTATTATAAAGTTGTGTATATTTACAGACTATTGCAAAAACTAAGAAGCTTATAAACATCAGGTTTAAAACGAAAAGAGCAATTAACAATATAACCCAATTAAAGATGTTTGGAGTTTTATTTGAGTTATTAATTTACATTTTTTGTCTGAGATGCTGATTTGAAACCGTTGTTAGGCCTACATACAGTTACGCATTTCCTGTTTCTGCCGGAGAGAGGGGAGTTTGTCCCAAAGCTTGCTGCTGTATTTACTCCCTCCATCTGATAGGAGGGAGCCTCATGTGTCACTCCACGGAGTTCACTCCGTCACGGAGGGTGTGTGTGTAGGTGTAGGGCGTGGTTTGGGATTGGGCCATACACACGCACTTTTTTTGGCCTCCCCACTTCTAAAATGAATCCGGCGTGCCTGGTGGGTATAGCCTCATGCTCTCAGCCTAGTCTTGCCCTTTTTTGTCTTGACAAACTGGTCTGCATCAAAATGTGCCTGCGGAGTGACTTGAGGTTACTTCACACACAGAACAACTCAGTTTTGTCTGCCCACATACATATTCCATAGTGGTTGAATACACAGTATTAGGAAACACTTTATACTTACTGGACATGTTACACTCATTACATACTGTATATACAATATGACCAAGAATGTGAGACAACTTTATAGAAATTCATATCACATCTGTTACTGATGCCATTTGTCATACTTTGTTAAACTCACAAATAATAAAGTTCCATAACTTCAGTTGGGAACAAAGACCACACCTTATCTCCCCAAGGCAATTTCCCATCCAATAGGTGTGCTATATAGGTGTGTATAACCCTTTCTCCTGTCTGTTTATCCCTCTTTCAGCACAAGAACCAGAGGGGGATTCAATGGAGCCTGAATACCTGCACTGAGACCCTCACCCTGCACCCTGAGTCTCAACTCTCAGTGTTTTTCAAGCCTTTCCCTGTTTTTTTGTATTAAACAAAACATTAAGCTTTCCCAATGGTGTGGTTTCGTTTTGTGAAAAAGTGCAAATGCAGTATTTGTATATAATTACATCACATATTTTGTTGCTGTTGGTTGTGAAATTGCTCCTGCTGACTTGAGCCAGCCATTTTTTCCTCCGCTCTGTGTCAGTGGGGAAGCCGTACATTTGTACTCCTTTCTCTGAGCGATT